TATCCCACTTTCGACTGGTGATACATGCTACTTATATCTGTCGCCATCAGTAGCACACCACACCATGAAAGTTTGGTTTACACAATTATTTAACATTTCATGATTAATTCAACTACTCAAGTAATAGTAATGATAAATAAATATAAATATACGTTGCCCATACATGTACAAGTCTATCCATATATTTATAATTTACCTTAGTTGAAATGTAATTGCGAAATTGAAAATAAGATTTACATTAATTTGAAAACAAAAACAACTGGCTTCTTAATTTAAAAAGAAGTAATTAATGACATTTCGCCAATATAGTGTTTAATATCATTTGATCTCAATTGAAATATGGAGCTAATTTATTTCTACCTACCACAAATATAATTCACTCCACAAAATTGATTAGAAATATTGTGGATTTATTTATTGGAGTGAATATATATATTACACATCTTAGAGCAAAGTAACTTACCAATTATGTATGGTATAAGCGTACTTTAAATAAACTAAATAAAACAATATTGAACCTCAAAAAAAACTATATCAATTCTATTACCAGGAGGGGTTTTGTGGAGATTTTTAAAAATTTCAATAGTTGAAATCATGAGTCAATTGAAGCTAGAACACCATGGAACACCTGGAAGTACTGGACGACCGTTTCGTCCCAGTACGGGACTCTTCAGCAGTGCGCACCCATTATCCCGCGAGATTCGAACCCAGGGGTTATTAGTCTCAGGCGCGAGCGCTTAGCCATTAGACCACTGGGCCCGCATCCAACGGATGTGCACTGCTGAGGAGTCCCATACTAGGACGAAACAGCCGTCCAGTACTTCCAGATGTTCCATGGTGGTCTAGCTTCAATTGACTCATGATTTCAACTATTGAACTTCTATTATTAATTTTTTGATAATTCTGATTTTGATTAGTACCCTGAAGAAGACTAGAAAGGTTTGCTGGACGAAACGTTGGAATTGATTCGATTTCAATCGTTGAGATTATTTCAAACATAATTTTACACAAATAGTATATCAATTCTAATTCTTAACAATTATCTTATATGACGGAAACGAGATAATGAAGTTATAAAGAAAAGCAATAAATATAATTATAAACTATTCAACTTTCAGAAATACAAAAAATTAACTATTATTTAGTACTGATACACGTTCCCACAAATTCAACGATCTCGAATAGAAAGACTATAGCAAAATGTAAGTAAGATTTATGGGTTAATCTTTTGCTTCATTGTTCTAGGGTCATTTTCAATCGATTAGAAGTTTAGGCAAAATATAATTTCAAGCCAAACTGTAAATGGATGTGTTTAATGTATGATTAAAACGTATCACTATATATTCGGACACACCCATTTAGTTATTTCACTATGCTAGAGTTGATGTTATTAGGGGTAGCTACTATATTTTATTTCAATTTCGAATGTCTTGCTGAGAAATAAAAAATACTAAATTATTGAAATGGATACTTATCACGACACTGAATAATGATAAAATTATATTGCAAAACAGAATGTATTACGGAAATTTGGATGATAAGATTCTGATTTAATAACTGATTGGTATTATATTGGGAGAATTCACAAAAATCTTATTCGAGAGTATATGTGCGCTTTTAAGATGTAAAATAGGACTAAAGATGTGAAGCTTCAAATATTTCATTATTTGATGAAATCAGAGCATGTCGGCTATTATTTCCTAAACATCGACATGAATTGAACAAAAAATATCTTAATAACTTACACTGTTTAAAAACAATGGTGTAATTCTCCGAGTTCATTGTCCCCAAATGGCCACGTGCATACAACCACTGCCACGAGTGTCCTACTCACTATCTTCTCTCGGCAGGACTGTTGTTGAGGATGAAAAGCCAATGCTCGGTGCTTTAACCGGGTTGATGGATATGAGGGACCCACCTAAGATAGTTGGAAAATTCAGATTTCAAGCCAATGGTACACATTAGCTGCAGAATACTGAGGAAACAAATGGTGTATCAACCTATTGTTAGTCACTGGCTACCATGGGACTGCATCTCCTGACGTTGCTCCACTATCTTGTGGATTAGACCTGTAGATGAATGGTTTGAGGTGTGGCTCCCTAAGAAATCTATCTGGTTTTGTTTTGGTGCCCGGTCAGTATTCTAGCCCTCACACAATCAAATGATTTATGTGGCGCATATCTATTTGGTGCCTCCTTGTACCAATGTTTATATGTTTGAATAAGTAGAAATGACTTTCAAATCATAACTAATAATACATATCTTTAAATCAACAAACAGTGATTTCTTTACCTACGTCTATTTAATTTATAATAATTAACGCTCTATATGTACATATACGACTCAATAATCTAAATTTTTATTAACATCCATTCACTCATAACAATGTCAAGTACAATAAGTACTTAAGAAAAATAGACCATTGCTGTAATCATTCGTATTGGAAAAAGGGTTTTCTTTTCTTTTCTTTAAGAATCTAAGCTCATCATAGAAAATTATTTTGATATAAAAACACTGTTTATTTCATTTTAAGTGTTAAAATGATGACTATTAAAAACCTTCGAACGAAGAAGCGCTAGATGCAGAATGTTTAATCCGAAAGAACCTTAAGAAAGTTGCTTGCATCTTTGTCTAATTACATTTCAAAAATAGAGATCTTTTTAAAGTGTACGACGATATTTATCAAAGGTATTGCTCATAGATAGCTAGCTTATCAAACTACAATATTTATTCAAACGTACAAACACAGGAGGACCACCCACACAACAATTCTGACCATATAGCTATCATGTGTTGGATTAAACAAACTAGCATGAGTCATAACTTTTGTAACTCAGCTGCAATAAACCGGTCACGTGATGTATGACAGAACAACACGGAGATAAACTTGCTAGGACAAACGGCCTGAGAGATGGACTTGACCTTGGAAGACTAATGCTATTGGCAGACTCACAACTTGTGGTCTCAGAAATATGTGTCTAATATCTAAGTTATTGACGCGCTATGTTACTAACCTCATTGTGTGATATTAATGTAATTTATTAATCACGACTGTACCCCTCTTACCATACGGATTTATTTGGCGACGCCTTTATTTGTCTTCTAAACATTCGATATGCGATAAGCGGTTATGTATCAACTGGATTGCTTACCAACGAGTATTTATTTTTTAGAAAACTTGGCAATTCTTTACGCAATACAAAGTATTGAAAATGATAGGAATTCCCATCTGTCATGTAATACAGTTCATGACATTTTCTACATTGTAGAAAACCGTAGGTATACAGTGAGTTTTGTGGATTCCCAACTTAAATAATCTAGGTATTAAATATTCACACACAGCGTTAAAGAATGCAAAGCCGTATCCTAGATGACAGAACTGAACTATGAGGTAAGAGTGGCGAGTAATCAAGCTAGTAAACTATATGTTTATAACGTCTTACTTTTTCCACTTGGTAAAGCTCATTGCGGTCTATTTCAAGGAGTAACCTTACAATAAAATCACTAAAAGCCTTTCTCGTCAATATATATATATATATATATATATATATATATATATATATATATATATATCAGAAATATATGGTAATAGTACATCAAGCAACGAACAAAACAAACACTAAAAACGCACTAGACGACTGTTTTCCTTAGTATATGACTTATCAGTAGTACATACCCAAGACGTCATCACTGATAGAACATGTGATTCAGCAACCTCCACAATGCCCAATAATAATAACAATGAACATGTTTAGCTTAGATGATAATGATAAGAATAGGGTAGTCTTATTTGTTCATACACACTATTCTAATTTCAAATTCAGTCACTCCATTTATTAGCCTTAGATTGAGCAGCTTAAGCAATCCAATTGTACAAATTGACCGTTAACGGTTTGACATTCAGCCACTACCATATAATCCAATCAAATTGGAAACAATTATCGAGAAGTATGTTACTAGCGCTTGTAATATAACAGTACTCATTAGAAAAAGATTTCTGCAGACACCTTTTAGCTCATTAAAACTACTTTATATATTTATGTACATAAACCAAATAATTGAGCCTATATGAAGGTTTACAGGTGATGGAAAAAGAGAGCAAGTTCACTCACGTCACTCACAGTTATCTAGTAGACACCAACTTTTACGCAATTTAGCTTACCACATAATAAATTTAGGAATAATTTTCTTATCTTAGTTTGACTTCTCTGGGGATTTTATCAAATTAATATCAAACTAACTACCAAGTACTTATAATAGGAATTTATGCCCAAACTTATCCTTTGTGTTTGGACATTGGAATCAGTTGAGAAGTTTGTGCGTGAAGATAGTTTCGAGTGCTGATGACAGTGTAACAGTCGAAGTAAATCCATAAGTACTGAAGCAAGTGGTTTTCTTAGGTAGCCACTTCCCAAATCATTCACCTACAGGTTTAATCCACAAGACAGTGGAGCAACGTCAGGAGATGCAGTCCCATGGTAGCCAGTGTCTAACAATAGGTTGATACACCATTTGTTTCCTCAGTATTCTGCAGCCAATGTGTACCATTGGTTTGGAATTTGGATTTCACAACTCCCTTAGGTGGATCCTTCGTATCCACAAACCCGGTTAAAGCGCCAGACAATCCCTTTTCGTCCTCTCAATTTCGTAAACAATACTCCCGCCGCGAGAAGGCAGTGAGTATAACATCCCTGAAAGTAGCAGTATACTCGTGACCATCTGAGAGCTGACTCTCCCCACTCTCGGCCGTACCAGAGCATTTGGGGGCAGCTGAGAAAGTTTCGCAGACTCCATACTTCGATTATAGCTGTTTTTGAAAGATTGCTTCCATCCAATGTCCGAGATTCTAAGATCAAGGATTCAAACTTATATGTTGTAGAGTTTTAAAATGAGAACGAATAGCAAGTCATTTATACCCTCTTAGTTTATAATGGTTACTGTCGAATCATCATGTGAAATATAGTTAAGTTTTTCGTTACTGAAAAAACAGTTTAACATACCAGGCAGTTGTTGACATATTTGTAAAATTATTTCACCGCATGCATCTATCATATGTGGATTAGAACGGTTCTAAAAGATATGTAGTAAATATAAAACTGAATTCAGTTTTTACGTACAAAGAAAAACATTTAGTATAGATATAGGAAGCTAAGAACATAACTGATAAGAATATGACTAGTTAACAGGCAATAAACAATAAAATAACTGTATGCTTGACTTCAGTCTTAGTACTTAGATTTGAATCACAATGCAATACATATGGGAATTCGAATCGGTAGAAAATAGATCCGAGCTTCAATGTAAACTTTAACACTGAGATATGAGTATATCCAGCTAGTAATGTAGCGTATGCTACTTGTGCTGACAGATGTAAGTAGTATGTATGCCAGCCGAAGACTGAACTGAAGAGAACAAGCAAAATGAAGAGTAATTGTATTAACAAGATTGGAAGAATTATGAAGCAGGTACAGGAAAACTGAAGGAAGATGTGTAAATAATTTATTTAATGTATGGTTTTCATATTTTATGAAGGCACTCTGCAATTTTGTATAAACTGCTACTGTTAAAATGCTATTTTTCTGTCTACACGAATGAGATGTTAATTTACCATGGACGAATATCTACACTAGATACCCTTCCAGTGTTTATTCTACAGGACTTCGACACAACTCAGACCAAGAACACGTGACTAGTCCGACTAGAACGTAAGTATATTTCCACATCAAAAACGGACAACAATATAACAATAGTAATAAGGGTAGGAAAATACATGACTCATTTAATGCCTGTCAGACCATCCTACTAGTCTGAATAAACAAGCAACGAATCATTATTTCCCTCTCCCACACATCAGATACACCTAAGTTCTCGTTCGTTACAAAATGTATCCTGACAAGGCAAACACACGCATCCTGCGTTTTAATGCTAGTCATTGTTCAGAATGTAATTAACTTTTAGTATGAAACGAATTCCAGAGTACATGAATAGTATAATGGTAAATACGGTTGATGTTCTTAGTAAATATTCCAATGTACACTTTTATATCAATTTCGAAAGAACAAGAAGAGAATGATTATACATTTTTTAGATATACATAAGCTGATACACCATATACTTAAACTCCTGATAATAATTTCCTAGCTGTTTCCTTCAGAATTCTCATACACTTGAACCCGGAACAGCAGAGAAAAAGCATAAATTATGGACAGAATCTTTGCTTTTAAGATCGGCTCATGTATAAACGACAAAATTATTGATAGGTTTGTAGATAACTCCAATATTCTAGGAACTTCTCAAAGGATATGAAATTTTGCAACAAAATATGATGAAATCGATATCTAAAAGCACAACTCACAGGCAAAATATTGATGTGAAATCGTATGGCTACACATATCCACCGTATGTGAATAACTAAATAATACTACTTGTTCTGTTAATGAGTTAACGTACATCGTAATTTAGGATATTGGTCAGTAGTGAAATGAAGTACGTGCTTTGTATTCAGTATTATCTGTTGGTGATGCGACTGAGTGAAGAATAAAATGAATAGTTTACGATATAATAGTTCAGTGGAATAAAAGTTCGCTACTACTCGCTGTATGAGATCGCATAACTCACCAGCTTGAGATTATTACCAGTAATAGTTCAGAGTAGGTACTTTCAGTGATGATCGCTCAATATTATCCGCCTATTTCCTTTATGAACAGTAAGATCTACCTCTTAATCGGATGAAATCTAATTTGGTTACAGCGTTTACTTGAATTTCATCTGTTTCACGTTTATTCAGAAACATTGCCACTTTACTTTTTACGGCTTATACATTGGTAATACTCAGTGTTATGTTATACATAAATAAGGTAGTAGGTACAGATAATTTCTAAGACTAATGAATGAATAAATTTAAGTAAACGTAAACAAATTCATTTACAAAAATAAACTACATACACCATATACAGTATAGTGATACCGTCCAGTTATTTCAATAAAGGTAGATGCTCTAAAACATGGTTTTTTATTTGCATTTTGAATACAAAGATTCTTAGGTTTGATTCATACAATTTCAAGGGATCATGCGTTACGCTTATCCAAAAACGCTACCGATATAAAAGAGATGAATGTCTTTAAACTTAAAGGATTTATAATTTCTCATGATTGATGATCGGGACTGGAATTTGATCAGTTTGTATTGCCACATGTGCACCCTGACAAGAATCCCTCTAACATAGAATAACTAGCGGCCTGCTTGAGTATCTGGGCTACCTGTTCCTCCGATCTAGATATTTCATCAAGTTATCTCTTTTTGTTGTTTGTTTTAGCACATCATTATGTCTATTGTGCGCACAATCTATTCAGGCGCGTTTATGAAAAGTTTACAACATTTCGCTATACGTGATACAAAAAGGTACAATCAGCGACATCATGGTGGCTGGCAATATGCACTGAAACCAATGAACATTAATCAAATGTGGATTACCGAACTCCTAACATCTAAAAGGTCATCATTCAAAATTTATCGTCACAATAGATCAAGGTATAAGAAAAGGAAACTTGTTGAAATACTTTATGCTGAGAATTCTATGTTGTACCAAAAATATAATGTTGAATAAAGCTTCTAATAATAATAGCCCTTTTGCCACAAGTTTTAGGATAATTGGGTTGTAACTGATTAATTGTAGTCCTGAATATAAAAACAAAGAATACCTTTATACTGGTTTTACAATTAAGTAACTATCTGGACTCAGTATCTCAATGGAAAACACGTTGATGTCTAAAGAAATCACTGCTAGATTCGAGTCTCATTATGAACACTGATAGGATCTCCTGATGAGTTACGAATAAGATGAAACTTGCGTCTTAGATTCTACATTCATTTGAAGGAGCTTAATATCGTCGTTTCCTAAGATAATTCTATATAACATCTCATAAAATAAGCATTTATTTAATAACTGTCAATTTTTTACAGACATTCATCTTCATGGCTAGACAATAATGGTCTTTTCTTTTATATAAATCTACATTTATTTTCGATAAACGACACAGGATGTCTGAAGGTCATGTTTACTTGGAAAGAAAATGAATAATCAATGACACAATAGACAAAAAGTCATATTATTATTATTATATTATTATTAAATATGGATTAAATACTTTTGGATAGCTAAAAAACGAAATCCGGAACTATGAATTCAGTTGGAATGAAACTACAACAAGTATAATTTGTCGAATATCAAGAGAATCCGAAATATTCCGGTTCTTTCGTAAAGAAACCACATTTTTGTATTTGTTTATCATTTAATGCCAACAGTAAATTAAGGTAAGAAAATAGCTACAAAGAGATAGATAATCTTTGCAATAGTCTGTTTATCAGTCAATTACCATTAAAGAGAATTGGTACGAATATGTATTGTTCCGAGATGTCATACACATCGCACTAACATAATGAAATAGAGAGAAACAATTAACCAGACTGGCAGCGAATGGAGAGAAAGTTAATTTCAACTGTAATGAAAATCTAAACATAAAAAATACACGGAAAGTGGTTAGAAGTGTGATTCAGAACATATATTTAGTCCTATCTCGGACTCGTCAACTGGATGTTTTTGTATCCTGGTATTGACGTTCATACAGGGACTCAAACCCAGTAACCTTCACTTCAAACGCTCAATACGTTATTTATTGAGTTGCTGGAGTGTAAGTAAACCCAAATGATGAGCTACAAACAATATGAAATGCATGTATTAAGATTTAGATCAATAATATGACAGTTTTCTTTCGCTCTACCTTTATGGACGAACAATCACTAATCGAACTCAAAAGATACATGTCTCAAAATTGTACTAAATAAGCGTCAAGGGCGAAAACTGAATTGAAACAACTTTCCCACTCCCTGCATATTACGCACAGACTAATGGTTAGACAGATTAAAGACGTAACAAATGCATAGTTATTACAGCGACCGTTATTTTCAAAGGAAAACAAGGTTCATTGTAAATCCAGTTGTAACTCAGTCCTCTTATAGTAGAAAACCAATCATAAGTGAAATACTTATTATTAGATATCAATTGAATACAAACAAAAAAACTTACTGATGATTCATTGAACTAGTGATCAACTAGAAATAAATGGCAATGTAATATCATGTTAATTACATTCAGCACTATCCAAACACTGAAATACTTACACCAACCTTAGTAGACGCACATCGTAAAGATTAATTAGTTATTTATGAGTATATAAAAATTGTAGACGACTGATTTGAATGAAAACACTAATAATTTATAACAAATATAACTCGTTTAGCACTCATGTGTTCATGTACTTAAATTAAGTCACATGGAATTGGGTTCGAATTAATAACCTATTGGCTAACAAACAACTAATTTAACCATACATGAACTAAAGACGTTTCTACACTGTGTTATCATTGGTTCTTTTAAGTCAAGATAATGGATTGAGGATGGTGGTTTTTAATTCCCTTATCCAACAGATGAAACAAATATATGAAAATTATTTCAAAAGCTGAGTAAGTAAAAATATGACAAGGAATATTTATGGGGGTAGTTGAACAGGTAAACGACAAACAAACAAATGAAGAACACCTAAACATTAAACTGATATAGGAAAATCATAGTAATTTATCATATACTACTTACTACTAACATAGATAGATAATATACTTTTTGTATTTTAATTTTTATTCCATTATCATATTTTACTTCCTAATTTGCATAATTAACTGACCTTGAAGGACAATTTAGACCAGTAAACAGAAAATGACCTATGGTAGTGTAAATACAAATTAGTCCGTTAATTTATTCGACAGGTAAATTTTTCTAATTTTTTTTGCGCTTCAGTAACTCATATTCATTGATCATATATATATATTAAATTATCAAAATTGATAGAAATGAAGGAATAATAAGTCATAAATTTAGAGCATAACACATTGTTTAGCTGCTAATTTCACTAATGGAATCAACTATTTAAGATGTTCTACATCGACCTAATTTTATTTCACTAAACGTATGAAATAAATCCCCTTTTTTATAAACCATAAAAACTAAAATCAT